CTGTCAGAATATGATTAAAAGTTGCAAAATGTTTTAGCAGACTGAAACTTAGCTAAGGTAAAAACACCTTTGAAAGCTCTATTTGCTTTGGAGCTAAATATTGAAGAGGCTTACACATAGACTAGGTTTAAAAGTATTACTCCTGTATCTTTTATATAGCTAATATACATACATTCATTTTTCTGTTATATGCAAATAAAAACAAGTTTTTACCTTCCCAGAGAGAAAAGAAATCTGGTCCAAAAGCAGCATAGATGTTTCCTTCTTTCTTGACAGGCTCCTGAACAGAACAGTTTAAGGAACTTCATCTTCACAAAGGACTCTGCATCTCGATTTTGCAAATCAAGTTCAAAGGACTGCAAGTGTTTAATTCTTGATACAACAGTATCACAAAACATACAAAACTCACCACAGATACTTATATATGCAAAATCATAGCAGACCTATACATCCTAACTTACTATGGTTACACCAAGACTGGTACCAAAAGTACATACATTTAAAACCAATAGTAATACGCCTTGAGATCTCGGCAGCAAACACTCAAGAGAAAACTGCTCTGCTACATCTTGCCACAGATTTTGCCCCTGCACAATAAAAACATGATTTGTGGGCAAATGTTCCTACATTGTGAAGCACGCTACGTTCATTAATTAGTAAGGTTTGAGGGTTTTTAAACTTACACAGAAAAAAACATTTCTCTATTCTTTTCCCACAAATAGCATGCACATCAACAGACCAATGATAGGTGTGATATTGTCAAGACTATCTGGTCACTGCTAGTGTAATTTAAATTTCAAAATTAAAAAATCCAGTTGTGAAGAATCACTGACTATTTTGGCAGGCTAGAATGGAACAAGCCCTTGCAATCCCCATCTCTCTGTTCCTTGCATAGGTAGATTCTGATTGTTTTTTTTCTGCTACAGACAATTGTCAGTAGTAGTTTAGATCCTTAAAAAAAAAGGATACAGCTCAAATTCCAGATCTGATATAAAAATGGAAGGTAGATCAGAGAGCACCATCATCTGTAAAAATTCCAAGGCAGGACCATAGTAATGAAAAACCTGAAAAGACAGAAAATCAAAAAACCTGTAACACAGTGCATGATGTTACCTCAGTACAACTTGGTCAAGTGTTTTGCTGGAGGCATTTGCCTTACAGATAATGTCTGTAAGAGGTATAAAAGATATAAAGGAATAGAAAATCAATTCACAGTACTATATTAAACATAATTATATAAAAACCAAGGCAGGTATTTAATTTTGTTTAATAAATCTTACTTCCTAGAACGTCAACCACGTGCATCAAATGAGTTCTAACTCTTATCCAAAGGAAAATAAGATCTGCCAGGAACAGACAAATGCAATCCAAAATGTACATATTTTAACAATGAAACAGCAAATTCGTAATTGATACCAACTTTTATAAGCACTCATTTTTGTGTTCATCAACAAGTATGATCCTGGAGTTCCTATCAGCTATCTACTTCCAGTGGAAAAGATGAAACAGCAACAGTGTAAAAAAAACCCCAACCCCCCAAATTTTTAAAATTAAGTGGAAAAGGTTAAATTGATACAGAGTTCATAATTTAGATATTTTGAGTATTAAGACTGAATAAAGCTTCAATTCCTACTTGAAAAAAATCCCGGTATTGTATTCTTAAGAAAAACAGATGAAATTCTGAGAACTCACATGAACAAAAGAAGCATTCCTCAATCTTATCCAATCATCACTTTTGTGTTTAACTTTTCAGTTCTGACTAGAGTTTCCCAGTTACTAATTTTCTCAGAAAAGTAAAACAGATGAATTCTAGAACTGACAGAAAGATCAAGAATAATACTTGCTTCTGGCAAAGCATCAGTATTCCTCAATTGCTGCTCTTTTTTACCGGCGAGGCAAGAACTTAAATGTGCAGTGCTGAATGTCTTTGCTGAAGTGCTTTTTATACAAAACTCTGGGAAGTCAACTCCTGATCCAAACTGGGGGGGGAAAAAGACAATAAATGTGTCAAAAAAAAAGAGATAAAAATTATTTCTCTTCAGTCACTTAGATGTGTTATTATTTTTAACAATTAGGATTATATTTGTTTCCATCAGATCTGTTTTCAGTCTTTGCTGAAACGTGAGATGTGCACTTGCAACAATGACTTACAGTTATATGATAATGATTTGTGATAGATACAAAACAATATATTTTTGAACAATAAGTTCTACAACAAATATTTCAGAGGAGAGCATTTGGTTTCAAGTTCAAATCTTGATGCATTAATCTCATTTATCCTTTCATCATGCTAAAAAAGCAAGTTATTCCACCACCCACCCAGACACATTGCACATTAGTTCTCTGAATTACACTGTCAAAATCAAATTTGGCTTAAAGCATAAAATGCACTGTACAATACACATTCTAAATGAGAACCATAGATGCTTTAAAAATTACCACAGCTGAAGAAAATCATTTTACCTTTCTTTCCCATATCTGAATCTTTCCTCTCCAGAGTTCTTTTATATCAATAATATTCATGATATCATCTGAAGACACAAAGTCTGCTGATAGATAGTCTGCAATCTTTTGCCAGCTACTGCAAAAATACGGAATTAATCTTACTGACTTTAGAATTACAAATTAACATGAAGAAATCAAATAAGATTGGCAATGGCAAGCTGCAGGCAGACCAGAGTAAGGTTGGGTGCTAGAAAGCTGCAGCAAAGCCAGGTAGCCATCACTGGGGCTATCACTGGAACCTCTACATGGTTTATAGTTAACCCTCTAAGCAGAGTAAATATGACTGCAGCACAAGCATTACCCAAATTCAACAAGAGAGAGAACAGTCGGTATCTGTGGGTTCTAGGGGCAGTCTGTCTTCTAAGTGAAATCAGCACCATCAGCAGAACAGGAAGAATAAGTGAGGTAGCTTTCATCAGAGATGCTCTGAACCCAAATGGCCTCGTTTTACATAAAAGGCAGCAGAAGCATTTATTCAGTCAAAAGCTGATTCCACAGGATGATACCAATGAGCATTGAGATCAAGTGCTCCTGGAAATCACTGCAGGAAGTTTATCATCCTCCACATACCTCAGAATACTACGGGTACTAAAGACCAAACATTCAACTTTTAAATTTTCAACAGTTTTATTAATTTTGGATTAAGCTTCTATGAAGCTTACTTGAATCTTCACATTCTATGAAGCAAACTTGAATCTTTTGGGCATGGAGGGGAGGGGAAATGGAGGGAACTTTAGCAAGTTATTCAGTATCCACACAATCATTCACTGTGTCAGGGAAAAAAGCCCAAACCACTGTGATTTATCTTGGTTTTTTTATGTCAATTAGAGGAGGACAGTAAGGAAACTACTGGATTTCACTTCATATTGAATTAATAGCCTCGGTGACTCTTCAGAAGCATTACAGGAAGTAATCGAGCATTTATGATCCTTTTTCAGAAGGGACAAATCAGACCCTCTACTTTTCCTCCATGAAATGTAATACCAAAGGTAATAAAGGTAATGTAAAATTTTAAGTAAAATCAGTAGGGGTAAGGATTCATTTAAAAAAAAACTGGAAAACTACAACCACTATACAAGTTATTATGCAGCATAGTGCAACAACTTGAAAACACTGTATGCACACTAAAGCCAATAGAGATGAGAAAATATTTTACCTTTTCCTCCCAGAGAAAACAAGAAGTTCAGAGGACTTGCTTTTTTTGCCTGCTCTTCTGGTTAGGGCATGTATTTACAATAAATCAGCACAAGTAATTCCTGCCCTCATACAGTAATAAACTAATCTATGTATTTTCAAAGTAACCACGTAGACTACTCAAGATGCTGTTTTTATTTTAAACCACTGACCTATGCTATCATAAAACAGGAGTGACCTTGTTTACAGCCCTGAAATGAATGCCATACCCTCTCGCATCATTTGCTGCAATAGTGATCTGTGCAGAGTGCCATTCTCTCAGGTGTTTCAGGGCACCAATAGCAGGTAAGCAGTCTTTCAGCTTGGGTCCATCTCGTTCAACAGCCTGCAGTATTACATCAACCACTGCTCTGCCTAAAAAAACAGTTATAGATTACTCAAAGTACCATGGCTCCGTAAATTATTCAATCATTTAAAGATAGAGAAGTTCTGCTTATCACTGATTGCATCAAAATGGGCTAAAATATCAGCTTCAAGTAACTCTGGCAAGATCTAAAAGACTTTCCACGCATTTTTAGCTCATCTCTTG